CAATAATTTGAGTGAATTAAGAGCAGTTTATCGATTTTTTTCGTCTTACTCAGGGAGAAACAATTTAGCGGAGCGAGATGCGCATGTGCAAAACGGCTTTAGCAGAAGGCGTAACCTCTTAAGGAATAATTATTATGCTTAATGATACACATGTTATCAGTTTAACTAAAAGGCCAACAAAATTTCGATCCCTTCTACAGTACGTATGTGGCTTTTAAACTATGTTCGTCAAACCTGGCTATCTGGTTCCTGCGAATGTGGTGTAAAAAACCGTGGTTCATGTCTAAACGGCCTCCAGGCTTGCATTTGGTATGCGGGTCGAACCCCGAGCCCACCGATGCTTCTTCTTCTCGCAGCACCTCCATTTTATTTGTACTAGCAAATAGTGTAAAAAATAGCAACCGATAAAAAAATTACGCCAACTTTAGCTGGAGTCCTGGCACTCGTACATCACTAGACGTTCTCATAAAACTGAATGAAAAGACCAGGGCCACTAGCCTGTTGACCAACAGAAATATTATCCGGAGTTGCGAAATTGTTAAAGCCTTCTCCCTTCTAAAAGTTGAACTCTTAATTAAATCATGAAATCACTCTGTTTCTCATTGATCATTTCTGTACTTTATACCCGTACATATGTTTAGAGTTTTATCGCCTTTGGACGTGTAAGGTATTTTCAGCATGTTGTACCAGATTCTTTTTCGGTTGCGTTATTTTCCTCTTTCCCTCTTGTAGTTAAATAATCCCGCGATACGTATAGTGCAAAATTCAGCTTTTTAAATAATAGTTAATAGATGCCAGAGGTGAAATAAAGACAATGTTGACAGAACTGGAGCTTTTCACTTCGAAATGAATCAATGTTTCACAATGTTTACGAGCACCCCAGAGTTCAGCGCGGAACTCTGGGTTAGGCTTTAGTTGGCCTTCATGTTGAGTCGTGGTGTGCGAGAGAGTGGTCATTGAATGGTTTCAAACAACCGGGAGTTTTATCAATACATTATTATTTTCAAAAACGTTATCACAGTTATTCATTCATCAGTGTAGTTTTGTGAAGGAACATGGTGTCATTGAAGCGGGAGAGGAATCCGGAGCTGGAAGATGGGGAGGATGATGGTAAGCATATTGAATAAACTACAAGAGGTATACGGAAAGCTGTTGAACGACTGTAGATTTTTCATATGCACTTCTGTATCTAAAACAGAAGAGCTTTTCATACTTTGCAGTTTCTATCAAATAAAGTACTCGGAAGCGTAGGCTGGAAAATCGGCTGTGGAAATGAGGTGAACGATGTTGTAAAGTTTTACAAAATCCCACTTTCCCGACGTTTCGCTGAGGGCTAAAGCCATGGTGCAGTCTGTTTGCAGAGAAACCGACGTTTTGAATTCATTGTCAACTGATAACACTTTTCTAGACCGTGTCTGTTTTGTGTTGCTTTTGAGCAATTTGCTTATGTATGAGAAATTTGGACCACAATCAGACGACTTTATTCTGCTTGTTGGTACTATATTTTAATACCGGTAAACATGAGTGTAGCTGACAACACTGTTTTCACTGTGTCTCAACCAGTCCCAGCCAAAGCCGGACGCTCACAGGATGTTGCTGAAGATCACAGGAGTCGACATTGCCCGTATTTGGACACTATCAACAGGTGAGTTAAGAGAAATGCTGACCGAACTATTCATTGGTTTGTGTTATTAATTTGTTTTCAGAGGCATGTGTGGAGGAAATGGTCTGCAATTTTTGTCGAGACTCACTTTTCCTAAACCTTGGGAGGTCGCTGAATGGTTTGAGCAACTTTTTTCTCCACTGAAGACCGTTCAGACTGTGCGAATCTGTAAATGGGTAGAGTTCAGAACTCGTAAATGCAGAAAAGGTTAAAATTCCAGATGGGGCACTGCAGTTGAGCAATACACTTCACCCGAGTTTCTCTAGTAAAATACCCAGCTGGGTAAATGGCTGCAGAGACATGTACCTTTGGATAAAACTCCAACCAGATAAATGTAGGGTTTCTTTACACATTGGATCATAGTGATGATCATTTGAGCTGAATACACCACAATACAGAAAAGCTATTGCTGATCTGAAATCAGTCCAGAGAAGTACATAAAATGGGTATCTTACACTGTTTGTTGAAAGAACTGAACTTTTTCTAGTCTTGAACGGGGAAGACTACGAGGAATCTGCTTCAAGTGTTTAAAATCCTCAGAGCCGTTCTGAAGAATCAAGAGACAAATTCCTAATGCAAGAAATTGTATATGGCTAATAAAGTGATCTTAAAGTCTAACATAAAACAGAGGATACAAGTGGAAATTACAGGGAAGTGCAAATAAAATTGAGAGGTACGGGTCTTACCATGTTTGTCTGGGTCACTTCTGATTAGACGTATGTCCAGCTTTCTGATGTGAGCTACTCTGCTATTTGAGTTGTTGAGCATTCAACCCCATAGCCTCTGCAGTTTGTTCCAGATAGAAGCAGATATTAAGGACACATTTGTCATTCCACATTTTAATGTTGGGGCTTTTTATTGTCTTTTGGAAGATGCCGCGGGAGGCAAGCAAAGGAAAGGAGCAGGCACAGTGCTTCCTAAGAGAAAGATAAAGAATGTGGCAGAAATGCTGTTGTAAAGCTTGGTGGAGAATGACAACATACTCTTTCTTTATTTTGTCCTCCTAGGAGTGTGTTGGACTTCGATTTTGAAAAGCTGTGCTCCATTTCCCTCTCTCACATTAACGTCTACGCCTGCCTCATTTGTGGGAAATATTTCCAAGGTGAGTGCAGAGGATCTTGTGTGCCTTTCACATCTCCTCTGTGGACTTGTGATCCTCACAGGATATGCCAGGCTTTGCCTCCTGTGTCTGCCTGGTTGGGCTCTGGTTCACTGCAATCTTCCTCAGGGTGAAGTACTTACTGAAAATGGAAGGATACAGTATAATAACACCATTTTCAAGTCAGTGCCATAAATGACCTCTTAGAACCAATCCTTCTGACTCACGTCTAGGTGATTTTTGCCCGTTTGGGTGGAGATTTTACTATACGTTTAAGCAACAGTTAGATCTGACCGAATCATTCCCGGTTTCACTGGTAAGAGAGAGTGGTCCGCCTTGATTTTAGGAAGTATTCAAGCTTTGCAGTGACTTAGCGAACTTACCCCTGAGCATATGGTGGACACCTCTGTGCGTGTGAAGTGTTCTTGCTGGATGATAATCCTGTGCTTTGGCTGCGCTGTGCAGGTCGTGGACTGAAGTCCCATGCCTACACCCACAGCGTGCAGTTCACCCATCATGTCTTCCTCAACCTGCACACCCTCAAGTTCTACTGCCTGCCGGACAACTATGAGATCATCGACTCGTCCCTGGAGGATATCACGGTGAGGAGTGGGAACTCGCAGCCCCTCTTTTACTTTTATTTACTGTTCGATTACAAGTTGTCTTCACTTTTGAGAACATAATGTGGTGCTAGATCAGTCAAAAAAAAATCAAATAGTATTTTTTTACTGTATACGTGATTATTGTGTAATTTTGTAACCTGCAATGGAATGATATCCTGTCCAGGGTGTATCCCCCCCCTTGTGCCCTTTGCTTGCTGGGATAGGCTCCGACTCCCCTTCGACCCTGTATTGGATGAAGTGGTTAGAAAATGGATACATGTGACAATATGCTCAATTGGTGACAATGTTGATCATGTTTAGGAATGTGCAGGAAGGCAGATGTAGGCTGGATGTATCCTTGCTGCCTTCTTTATTCATTCCTGTTTGCCTGGCCAGCAGTGAAGAGTAGTTGTTAAGGTTCTAAACTTGTAAAATGTCTACAGGTGTCTAGAATAAAAACTATATGATTAATGATGGCTGACTAGCAATTAACATCATCTCCTCTTCAGAGCAGAAAATGTATTAACATGAAAAAGAATCTGGATTTCTCTGCGGTACATTGGAACAGAGACCACCAGTGTTGACCCTCTCCGTGTTAAGCAGGCCTGCATGTTATTCTTTTGTTTCCAGTACGTCTTGAAGCCCACTTTCACCAAGCAGCACATCGCAAACCTGGACAAGCAAGGCAAGCTGTACCGTGCCTACGACGGCACCACGTACCTGCCAGGCATCGTGGGGCTCAACAACATCAAGGCCAACGACTATGCCAATGTGGTCCTGCAGGTGAGCCTCGCTTATGAAGGCAGGGAAACATCTGCTAATATTAATAACGTGCATGTTGCTTTGCATGGCTTCTTCCCTGTTATTCTGTGAGCAGCTGCTTACAGGTTATTTTTCTTTCTCTACGTCTGATACAAGCTGGATTGATCAATCTCCACTTGGAGGGTTCCCTCCTTGCCTTTTTAAGCCATTTGTTTATTTAATTTAGCTATTAAATGTATTTAATTAATAGAAAAAAATGCACAAAAGAACTGGTAGCTTCTGTAAGATGCATCTGTAAATCTGGAATCGGGTATAAAAATGTGGGCAGTTTGGAATTCTGGAATGGGGAATAAACATGTTTTGCTCAGATCTTAGAAAGTAAAAGTGGTTACAAACCAAAGGAGGTCATTTAGGCCATGTAACTCATTTGGTAGAGCCACAGGTGTGTTTATATGTATCTTCACTACAACATGAAGGTACCAGTGAGACGTTTCTAACTGGTCATCTTTGCATTTTCTCCTTTAATGAGATGAAGCAAAATGTCTGAAGACGTGAATGAGACATATCTGTGTTCTGCACCAGATGTTTTGGCAGTGCTTTTAACTGCTGAACAGGAGTGAGTGCTCATTGATGGTGCAACCAGGCTCTGAGTCAGTTGGTATGGTTGCAGAATTAGAAGGTCCTCATGGTCCCTGTGTTGTGTTGCAATGCTTCTGCAGGCTCTGTCCAATGTGCCCCCATTGAGGAACTACTTTTTGGAGGAGGAGAACTACAAGTCCATCAAGAGGCCCCCTGGGGATATCATGTTCCTGTTGGTGCAGAGATTTGGGGAGCTGATGAGGAAACTGTGGAACCCACGCAACTTCAAGGCTCATGTCTCTCCCCATGAGATGCTACAGGCTGTGGTGTTGTGCAGTAAGAAGAACTTCCAGATCACCAAACAGGGTAAAAACATATTATTATACTTCTCAGTAAACATTGCTCCTGTCCATTAATGTGTTGAGAGCTAAATTGAATGGTTTTTGTTGTAAATCAAGGTAATAGGTTTACTTTGTAGAATCTAGAAGATCAATATCTGCTTCTGATTGTCTGTAAAATAAGTCAGATTAGAATGCATGGTCATTGCCTAAATTACAGATTTACAACTGTGTTAATCAACGACTGAGGTCTCTCCTTGGGGAGGGAATGCACAGTGCACAAGATGAGATCACCCTGGGCAGAACACCAGTCTGTCTCAGAACATGTACACAGAAATGCCCTGTGTAATAAAGCTAGCATGTCTTTGAGAGGTGGGAGATGCAGGTTGAACACGGAAACTGTACATAAAAAGTACCCAATGCTGGAATTGAGACCAGGTCCCAAGAGCTGAGAGCCATGAGGCGGCAGTGCCATCCTCCACACCACTCTGCTGACCAGGAGAGATGATCAAAGTGCTTTCCTAGGGCTGCTCCTATTCCTGGTGTAGGCATGTGACGCTGACGTGGGGTTGTGTGTTTTCTGTCTGCAGGAGATGCTGTGGATTTCCTGTCCTGGTTCCTGAACGCCCTGCATGGTGCTCTTGGTGGAACAAAGAAGAAACCTTGTGAGTTGCACTGGCTCAGAACAGTTGTGTATTGCACCAGGGCATACACTGTGAAACAGGATAAATCTGAACATCAGTCAGTGGTCTGCATTGTTGTAAAACAGGCAGTTTCTCAAACCTGACACCTTCTGCGTCTTTTAAGTGATGTCATGCATGTGGGTAATTCTACTCACACTAGCTATTAAAGTGTTGATTTTCCCAAATGTCTCCCAATTTACTCTGATGACTTTAACCATTCATCACAGTTGAGTCTTACTGCTAATGTTTAGTGTAATGTTGATATGTTCAGTAGGGTTTCAACATTCCCTAGTGTTCTGTGCAGAGAACTGTTGCGAATAGCCAAATTCTCATATACTTGTATAAGAAAGTCCACTGCTCTACTGTTGCATAATGTACTACAGTATTTAGTATGTGTGGTTAAAAGACACAAGTAACCCTCATTATTAAAATAACATTTAATCAACCAGAAGACACAACAGTGATCACAAACTTCTAATAATCATTTAAAACAACATGAATCCCTCCTCAGGCAGGCCTACACTTTCTCTCTATGCCTCCATGATTAGCACGCCCCACTGTAATGAGATGGACAATAAGACTGTCAATGAGCCTGTAAAGTCATCTCCAGCCTGTCATTCCACACACTGCTGACACAGAACCTGGAGTGTTTGTTGATATTGAGATGCTGTGGAGTGGGTGCTTGGGCAGGGAGAGATTCCCTCATGAGCTGATCTGTTCCGCTACTTATTTTACAGTTGTAGTTAACAGCCTTCAGCTAAGTTTCATTCCGCTCTGCTCTTCCGACACATGACTTGACCTGTCGACCTGACAGAACTGCAAATAAGTGAATTTGCGAATGTTAAATTTGCAGATGTCGAGATCCTACTGTACTGTTTTGTTTTTAATATGGGCAATACGTTTTATAAATGAAGAGTACTAAGTAGATTTTTTAAATCCCAATTGAATATGTTTTTACACCAAAGAACAAGGTGCTAGACATTGAACAGCAGGTGATGCCGTTCTTCTTCATTGCAGCAATAATAACCCAGGCTTTCCAGGGCTCCATGCGCATCTTCTCCAAGAAACTGCCCCACCCTGACTTGGTGAGTACGACCCCCAGCCACAACACGCAGTGTGTTCCTGGTGGGCAAAATATTGACTCTGTTTGACCTGCCCGATAACTCCAAAATCAACAGAAGGGACTGCAGATATTTCCCTAGTTTTTTTATGTGTCCATGATTACAGTTGTAGTTCTACAGATTGATGCATTTGGGTATTTCTAAAGCTTTAAAACTTGTTAGTTTTAATGCTTGTTTTCCATAGGCTGACTGTTAAAAACACCATTGGTGGATCTGGGTAAATAATGATGAACTGTCCAAAAACGAGGGTTCTTTTTTTGGTCTCTCGCTCTGTCTCTCCCTCCCCCAGCCGGCGGAGGAGAAGGAGGCTCTGCTGGCCAACGAGGAGTACCAAGAGAAGATGTCCGAGTCCACCTTCCTGTACCTGACCCTTGACCTGCCCACCGCCCCTCTCTACAAGGACGAGAAGGAGCAGCTCATCATCCCCCAGGTCCCCCTCTTCAACATCCTGGGCAAGTTCAACGGCATCACTGAGAAGGTACGGCGCTGCTCTCCCGCGTGTCCTGGGCGATGGTCCCATAACTCCCAAAATCCGAGCGAACAGTGAAATTGTGCTGACACCTCTTTCTAACAGCCTCCCCAATTTGCAAAATGTGTTTCATGAGGTGTGAAGTGCTAAACACGAGGAGCAAAGTGCTGCACTCTTTAGCAAGGCACGTGTTTTATGAAGGTCTATAACAAAAGCTGTTAGTTTTTGTGGGGCTTTTTGTAGGGTTTATGGATTTTGCCGCACACAAAACCAAAAAAGTTTCCATAGGCTTCAGCAGCCCCAGTGACCCAGTGATAAAGCAGTAAGAAGATGGATGAACAAAATCAAAAACCTTGTGTAAATTTGGAATATAAACCATACTGACCTTAAATTGAGTTTTGGTATTTACATTTGACCATTCTAAGACCAGGGGGTTGCAGGTGGGTAGCAGGTAGCCCTCTCCCAAGCACATGTTCTCTGGGTCTTATTGGCAGCTGCAAGTTATCCCTCTATCGGTGGGCCCATGATGCACTGGGGACCCATTCAGGGTGAAGCAGGTTTGTGGGTTCCTGTTCCTCACTGAGCCCTGTGCTTTTTACTGGGGCAGACTCTGGCTTTCTGATAACAGGTGAGTGTGTAATAGGGTTGAGATACTTACAGGTGCAGAGGCAGTGTAGCACAGTAACGGGCTGGTTGTGGGTTCAAGTCACTGCTGGAGACTCTTGCTGGTACTGCACACAATGTGCATGTGCTCTCTAGTCCATTTAACTCTACAGAAACCAGGATGAGCTCTGTCCTGATGAGCTGCAGTTCACCTGGTACAGACATTACCTTTCTTTACTTACTGGAGCAAAGTGTGAAACTGCACTTTTGTGCTGTGCATCTAATATGTCCACTCAGCTCTATAATTGCTTGGGGGTCATCCCCACAGTGGACCACCATCCCATCCTGGGTGAGGGGAGGGGGCATGTGCTCTCTAGTCCATTTAACTCTACAGAAACCAGGATGAGCTCTGTCCTGATGAGCTGCAGTTCACCTGGTACAGACATTACCTTTCTTTACTTACTGGAGCAAAGTGTGAAACTGCACTTTTGTGCTGTGCATCTAATATGTTCTTTGTTGTGGCTCAAGAGGCAGTCGGAATAGGTTTTGTCAGTCCAGCCCAGTGCAGTGGCTTTCAGTGATGTCTATCTTCTCCCTTCCAGGAGTACAAGACCTACAAAGAGAACTTCCTGAAGAAGTTCCACTTGACCAAACTACCTCCGTATCTCATCTTCTGCATCAAGAGATTCACCAAAAACAACTTCTTTGTGGAAAAGAACCCCACCATCGTCAATTTCCCTATCACGTGAGTACCTGTCACCTCCGGCCGCTTGGGCACTGCACTTTCCATGGAGATAAGGTCGTTCGCAGTTGAACACCCTGTAGCCTGTTTCATTCCGGGCAGGGCAGAGATGAACTTAAACCTGGAGAGCATCTGAACATCATTATACCTGCGAGAGATAAATCATATGAACAGGGTATTGCATCATGTAGCCCCCCCCATAAAAAACCCTCTTTTTATTGAAATAAAATCCTTTTTAAGAATTTTTTTAAAACAATTCAAAACATGAACATTTCCGTAACTGCATCAGTTTTGCAGAGTATCGTAATGGTTATTTTGGAACTGCACGAAACCGAAATGTCTCTTGGGACCTTCTGAGAACTGTTGAGGGGCTGACTGGCTGGCGTGTGTTTGTTAGGAACGTGGACCTGCGGGAGTACCTGACCGAGGAAGCCCAGGTCACGGAGAAGCACACGACCTATGACCTGGTGGCCAACGTGGTGCATGATGGGAAGCCCAACGAGGGAGCGTACCGTATCCACGTGCTGCATCATGTGAGAGCTGCTCTGTCTTGTGAACCGCTCGCAGTGAGGCCTTCTCAGTCTCGAGCCGAGTGTATTTGGTTGCAGAGAGATGTGAAAGATTCTGTACTTCCATCATTCCCCACTGCAGTCCTTTTGTGTTGTCAAATGGAACAGAATACTTCTGAAATGTTGGTGGTAGGGTTAAAAGTTATTACTGAAAAATCATTTAGGAGTCATCATAACCGCCCCCCCACAATGCAGAAGTGTGTACTGTCTCTCGAGCCGATCTGTGCAATGGAAGTGCGTCAGGCAGGTTAGTAACGGCGTGCTGTGGTCTCTTTCACAGGGGACTGGGAAGTGGTACGAACTACAGGATCTGCAGGTGACTGACATACTGCCTCAGATGATCACTCTTTCAGAGGCGTATATTCAGGTAAAACGCCAGACTGGATATGTTTGTGTTAGAATAAAGCTTTTGTGTTTGGGTGTTTGTCTGTGGTTATGTATAAAGTAGTGCTCTGTGCTGTAGAGACTGTGCTGGAGTGGGGGGGTGGCTTGTATCACATGTTGTGACCTGTCTCTTATTTTCCCTCCCCGACAGTATGTGCAGTATACTTGCTGTAATGCACATTTATCTTTTCTGCCAAATGCAATTTCTTACAAATTAAATGCAATTTCTTACAAATCTGCCAAATGCAATTTCTTACACATTAAAACATCCAAGTATTTTTCCAGGGCAATATGACTGTTTATCAGTTCCCTGTTTAATTTAACTATCTGTCTCGCCCATGTATTTTTTATATAATTACAGTAACCTATCTTGTGCTTTTACTATGCCTAACACTCATTATTAAAATCAACCTTAACTGATTCTGAGCTTGTTCCACTGAGAAGCTCTAATTCATGTGCTGTGACCAGATGTCATTATAAAGTGTCTGTTGGGTTTGCAGATCTGGAAGAGACAAGAGAGCGAAGAGGAAAACAGCCACATGGGGGCGTGAGAGCAGCGCTGCTCAGGTCCACACAGGGAGCCGGGTCTCGGCAGAGCGAGGTCTTTTAGTTTTGTTTTAATCTCATCTATACAAACGATACATTTCTCCACTGCTGGCTTTATAAAACCACACACATGGGTGCTTACAACAGTGGACTGTGAAAGTCGCCTAGAGCAATTGTTTTTCCATTTGTTTTTCTCTCTAAAACAATCTTCTTTTAAGGTTCTTACAATTCGGTGCGTCATCTCCACCACCAGTCTGACAGTTGCCAACCGTGTCAGGTGCCCTTTTGTATTTTGTCTTGTCATTATATTTAATAAGGAGAACTCCCCAAAATCTGTAAATAAATTTTGGTAAAAAAAGATGTTTGAATGCCATTTTGTTCTGGGGTATTGATCTAAAGGGGTATTTCACCTTTGACCTTTGCATTGAAGAGAAACTGTCCAGTGGTCATTCTGGTACTAAAAAACTTCTAGTATGTTATGTAGTGTTTACTCAGATTTGTTTTTTTATGTTAAACTGTGATTTATTGTTTTTTTTTTATAAATATCAGTCCATGTGTACGCCCTGGTTTTGAGCGAGCAGTGGGCTTTCCATTCTGGGTCTTGTTCATCTTAAAAATGATGGGATCTGTTTGTGTAGATAGAGTGCAGGACCGATGGACTAAGAGGTTCAAAGACAGTCCAGTCCCCCCGGGAGTCAGGAATTATATAGCCATGACTGGACACTTGGGGTCACTTCGCTGTTACAGGGTTCCCTTCCACTTCAGATAAGGGTTCTCCCCACAGAGGACCTTTTTAGATTTCCATCTCGCAGAGAGTTGAGTGATGGTTTTCAAGCTGGGCGGATCCTGACGCTGGGATCTGACGGCTGAGGTTGCGTGTCCTGACGACAGCCTGTGACATCAGAATGAGATGGCACTTCACTTGGATAACTCCGACGACATGCCCAGGAGGCTAGGAATCCTACCTTGGGCTTGGAAGAGACGGCTCATGATGGCTCATGATGTTTAAAAACATGATTGCCTGGACCAGGACAATCATCAGGCCTTGTTGGTGTTTTCTTTTCCTCTGTGCCCACATGGTCTTGTTGCTATAAATTTATTTACTATAAAAAAAATCTTGCAAAGGGCAGCACAGCTGATAACAAATTTGAGTTTGGATTAAAAAAGCTTTGTAAACCGCGTGTAGAAGAATAAAGATGTTATGTGTATTTTAGAGTTTATTGTAATTGATTAGTTTTACCAGGTTTCCAGGATCATTGTCAGGTCTGTCGATAACTGGTTTTGTTTAAGAGTTTGACATCCTGAAACCTGATTGTGCCAATCAGGATTATAATCAGGCACAAGCATCTCCACTTATTTTTGCTTGTTTCTTTGAAAAGATTTAGAGAAATACCTGGATTCATGTTCTGCCCTCTGTGGTGAAAGAAGAATGTTCTGTTATTAGTGTCACTGTAGATTTTGGTAAGGGGAGTAAAAGCTGTATTGTAAGAAGTGATTTACCATGAAAATCATATATTTTTTAACATTTCAACACGTTTGAAGCTGACAGCCTTTCAAAGTGCTGCTCAGGTTCATGCTAAAATAAATTTTAAAAACACGTTTGATTTTATTCAACGTAAAACATGTTCCAAACCTTTTTTTTTCTGTGGGTGCTTAAGTATTTCATTGTGCTCGGAGGATATATTTAAAAGTTCCCTTTAGTACATTGAGGAGGGTGGGTCATGCAATTTGAACTCCGCACAGAAACGCCAAGCTTCTCTTTTTCTTTGCTGCTTTCTTCATTAGACAATTACGTGTTATATAGACTGGAAGGTAGAGCTCATTTGAATACTCTACCACAGCAGATTTGAGCTGGTTGGTGAATGTACAGTAAATGCACCACTGCCAAATATAGGCTTCAGTTATTTTCCTGAATACAGAAACAACATGACAACATGTCTGGTTTTCCAGTGGATGAGCACGTATACATTAATTGCAGAACACCGATGCATGCCACAAATTATTTTTAATTGAGCACAAAGAAATAGATCAAATAAACATGAGTTGGCTGCACTTGATTTGAAACCCTGTTTCCCTTTTCCATTAGAATTCTTTACCTTAAAAGAATAAAATCAAAATTAATGTATAACTGGCACATAATTAAAGCTAGTACATTTTGACATAGAGCAGTACTGTTTAAAGCATTGCAACTAACTAGCCAGCTGAGAAAATATTTTTCTGCCCACATTAAAGTTAAAGGAGTGACTTTGAGCATCTTCCTGGTGAGAGGCATGAGGATTTAGATACTGTGGCAGACTGTAGGATATTGTGATAATTGTCCAGATCTTCAGGATAAGTTAAAGCAACCAAACACTTCTCTCCTCTGCTATGCTGGAGGGTGCAGTTTCTCCTGTTAGCTTTAGGAGGTCCTGGGAAGGATTATACAAAGTCCCAAAGCAAAACGGGTTTTTTTTTCTAAAGGGACCAGCAGTTGCTGTTATTTAAAAAGTGAAGGACTCATGGTGAGACTGGGTCCTGGGCCTGGACTGTACCCAGGCTCTCGCAGGGGGCACTGTGCAGCTGGCTGAGGGCTGGGAGGGGTCGGGTACGGTTCTCTGGGCTGTGACCGCCTGCAGTCAGCGCTGCGTCTCCCTGGGTCAAATGACGCTTTGTGGTGGGCTTGTTGGGGGAAGTACCTCTAAGCTTCATCTCTTGATTGAGTACTAAAGTCCTACTCAATCAGAGTCCTTTCCAAAGTGGGTGGGTGTACAATTTAGACAAAAGAACCATATATCTGTAACCTCCAAACCAACCCCATACAGAATCAGACAGACCCTGTGGATCAGATCCCTGCAGACACAGTTCACTCTTCTCAGAAGTGGGAATAGGAACTCTACTCATCTGCATTACACTGCAGTTTATCATGAGTAGATCCCTGTATTGTACCATGATATTTTAATGCCTACCTGAGGGATATGGAACCTGGCTGTCAACAAAGGTTGATTAAAGTACAGTGGTTCATGCCAGGGGCAGTTTGCGTGCTGTAGTGTCCCTCTTCCGCTCTGTCCTACACCGGTTTTATGTATAAAGTAGAAGACTCTCGGGTTAATTAGCTGGAACAGTGGGCTACAAATCTGGAAAGGACTCTGAGTGAGTTTGGTTTAAAGTTTTTGCATCTTTGCATTGTGCGTTTGTGGGATTATCTGTCTGGCAGAGAATAGCACTAAAACACCTTCATACAAACAAGATATGAAATAGGGTAATAAAGGGTCTTTCCAGTTTGTTTTCACATTCTGAAGACAATTCCAGATGAAAAGATCTATTACTAGTTGAAGTGTCTTAAAGATCTGAAGCTCTGTTTTCGACAGTAGAGACAGTAGACTGGGAGTGTAACTGGTCTGCACAGTTAGAATTGCTTTGCTTTATTGTATACTGCTATCCTTTACAAAATGCCCTGTACTTTCATTATTGTATAAATCTGAAGGTTTAAGGCCAGGAAATAGGGACTGTAAATTCCCGCTTTAAAGAATAACAAAGTTATTCTTAATCTGGACATTTTCAGTAATTCACATTTATACTTAAACTCTTATTGGAGGCCAAAACATATATTGGGTCTGGTTTTACATAGTGTGTCCAGCTTATTTTACTTTTCATTCTAAATTTTGCTGTCAGTGGAGAACTAATGATTATTTTTAAATCCTCTCAGTATTTATTTGACAAAAAAAACATCTTGATTAAGTAGGAGCTAGGATTAATTAGATACAGGCAACGGTGATTTCCTCGAGCTCGCAATCTGATAGGCCACACTAAAATCCTAAAAGCATTCTATAATGTCACAGATCCATTGGCAAGACACATTTTGATTTGGTCATCGCTTGTTGCTGTGACGCTTGGCCACAGTGACAGCTGAGGCCAGAGCAGGCGGAAGCTGATTGAAGCCTGGGATCGCCCAAAACCTGCTGGTGCCATCCTGGCGCTGCCAACTCTCCTGGCACTGCCACTGTGAAGGGGTGAGATGTCTAGATCCACACATGAGCCTTGCAGTGGTCCACCGCCTGAAACACAAATCCAGGAGACTGTTGCACACGGCAAAGGGATTTCGGAGCAGATAAAAAAAAATGCATGAAATCCTGAAGTCCTAACTCTCCCGTGACGGGAGCGCTACTCACATTGCAGGCCAAGGCTCTCTGCATGTCGGCGCACCAGTAGGACGGTCCCCGGGCACAAGGCTGGTCTCCCAGCAGGGGGGTGGGCTCTGCCTTGGCGCAGGCCTGGACTTCCTGTGTTTGTGAACATGTGACACGCTGTGTGCTTACGGCATCGTAGGCCCATTGAAACACAGACTCACCACTTTCTCTGCTGCAAAATCAGTAGGAACAAACTAACACTGCTGATGGCATTTTTACTTCCTGAATTTGTAGAATGGTAGACATATATTTCATTCTTAAATTTAAACAGCTGTTCTTATCAACTGCCAGCTACAAATACAGTAAGTGGAGCAGACTGGGAGAACAACAGACTCTGTTTCCTTCCTTGCGTTCGGTGCTGGAAGACAGGCCAACAGGTTTACATGTTGTCCTGATGGGGGCTGAGGAGACGTGTGGGATGTTGCAGTTTCTCTGTGAACTGACCACTCACCTGGCACATGGTGTGAGTGTCCCATGGCTTGGTCAGGACTTTCTGCAGCTTGGGTTTGTAGGCCTCAGTGAAGTTCTTGCACTGCAATGAGCAAACACACCACATATGTTATCTCCCTGTCCTTTGTGATTTCTTTACTTGTGTTTGAGGTGTCGGTTTCAGCAATACACTTTCACAAATTGGCAGACTCAAAGGACTTGTTTTATTTGTTAATAAGCCGTTTTTGAAATGCACTTTCAGCAGGCATTAAATGAGCACTCTGCATTAACATGTGCAAGCTGTAATGGATATAGATAGATAGATAATACTTTATTAATCCCGTAGGGAAATTGATGTGTTACAGCAGTCCAGCCCAAGACAAGCAAAACAGACATCAGAATAGTTCTAAAACAAAAGACAAACAAGATAAATAAAAATAAATACATGGGTGTGTGCAAAATGTGCTGATCATAGTCACTGTAAAAACAATAAAATATGTGCAAAATGTTCATAGGTTTATACAGACTGATTGTCCAAAAAGTACAATGGAGTAAACATGCTGTCCATAGAGGAGTAAACGAAGGGCTAACAGTCCTAGCCTAGGGCAGCGTTATACACCCTGACAGCCGCCGGGAGGAAAGACCTGCGGAAACGTTCCCTTGAACACCGTAGCTGGAGCATATGGGATTATGGTTAAGTTCAGGACGTGCTTCTAGTCATGGGAGAGCACTCCTCTATACTGTACATGAATGTCCTCGGCTGATTCACTTTACATCATGTGAAGCAGGCTTTGTGCAGAGTTTAATCGTGGCCGTGGTGACTGTGCAGACTGACCGTGGGGATGGAGGACGGATAGTAACGGCACACGGTGTCCAAAACCAAAGCCGTCTGGTCTTCGGTGGCGTTGGAGCCCAACGTTAGCTGCGTCAAGGCAGTCACACCCAGACAGGCCTCGCAGCTGGGCTCACTGGCGGCAGCTGCTTCAACCAAGAAAGGCATTGAGTCCAGATCGGGAGCATTTCTGTCTGCAGACTTTAATTCTACTTTACTTTATTTTCCCAGATGGGAAGTTTGCTTGGGAGGCAGGTAAAAGACACAACACATTGCACAGCATATTTAACACACCATGACCCCATTAACAAATAATAGACATGCAGTACATGTATGATGTGAAAGAAATAAATATACAGTATATAAAGTAAAATATACAGTCAATCAACATGCCAAAGTAGCCACCCAAGCCCTCCTAAGGTAATACGCAAATCCTTCGGTGTGACAACAGAAGAGCTGTAGTTTTTATTTCAGATTTGATATATGCTATATTAAGGGCAAGCAGCCGGAGACTCGTGCAAAGTTGTCAAAAGCATTTTGTTCCAGGAAGCAACGAAAAAGTATATTTTGGACTGACAGTCAAGATCCCTCCCTGACCATAGACGGGTCATGTTGCGTACTGTACGCACAGTGCTGGTAAAAGCAGAGCAGGGAAGCCTCCCTGAGTGAAAATGTGGACTCACCTAGCACAGCCGGGCTCTCCTCCCCAATGCAGAGGTAGACCAGGGAGCAGATGGTGTGTGGGGCCAGGTACGACAGCAGGAAATCAATCACCTTGACGCCATACATCTTCACAAACACGCTGCACTGCATGGAGAGCAGCATGGGCAGGTGGGAGCAGACTTTTCCCAGCAAGTCGGCGATCTGCTCCTGGAGGTCGGGAGGCGCAGAGCAGAGGGGGCAATCAGACGGGGGGGGGTCATGTGACAAAGATGCTTTGAAAATCATGCAAGGATAAGGTTGTCCGGAAGCACACATCAGGATATTGGAGAGTATTAAATCACTTTCAAAATGCTGAATATCCCTTTGAACAGGGTGAAATCGATCATTAAGGAGTGCAAGGTGTGTTGTATCCCCCCCAGACAACCTAGATCCAGCTGTAAGTGTTGATCTAAATAGAGAAAAATGTTGAGTCAGCCAGCTGCAAGCAGCGCAGAATGTAAATCAATTGCAATCCTAGAGGAGCTTGTCACCAGTCTAACAGTGATGTAAGTGTGTGGGCTTGTCTGAAAAGACTCTGAGATTAAACCTAAGATGCCACTTACAGTTTTGTGTCACGTTTGTGAAATAAATGCACGGTCTGAAATCTGTAAACCGATTTGTCTTCAGAGCTACTCTCAAACCTGTCACCATTCACAGACTGTAAAAACACTTTGCATTTTATACGTTCTTAGAAGCTGGACATTCTTAGAAGCTTTGTAAGCGCCCTCACTCAAATGCATGTTTCTGTTTTGTTTACGAAACAGCACCTTAGGTAAGATCTATCCTACCTTAGTTCTCACCTTAGGCAACACTTCCTCCACTTTCTTAATGAGAAGGACACAGATGGAACACAGAGGCGTAATCTGAACCTGGAAGACAGAGGGGGACAGGCAGTCATGGGGCAGTCTACAGCACTCACTGTGGCAGTGGGGCATAGGCTAATTTCCCTGGCGTTCTCTGGGGAGAAGGCCCAGTAGTCTGAACTCCCATAGTTATATCAGTTGGGGTGGACATAACTGAACAGAAGAACAAGAGGGTGCTTGTATTTTAAGCATGAAAAACAAGGCAAGGGAGAGGGTTACGGTTATAAAACCCTCTGAGGTCAGTTTGGAGTTAAACATGTGAATGAAAATCTTTAGGGACACTTTTTTTTAAAAGCACGGCATTATGTATTCTTAATTTCATTGCTCATGCAATGCTGCAATTCAGTGATTCAGTGTTCACATGCTTATTAAAGTATGTGTGCAGCATGCTCACTATCAGGCTGCTGCTCTGGCAGCAGGTGTGGGGTCTCTAGGCTGCTGTTAGATGCAGAAATGCCACTAGATGTGCTATCATTGCACCAGGGTTTGGAGAGAGAAAGGAACAGTGAGCCTCTGTGAGATGCAAGGGATAACTCACATTCCACGACTCACACCTGAAGTTTAAAAGCATCTGAGGATTTAAATATTAAAAAGCTAAGCACATAGTTGTAGCACACCGTGGTGATGATGCAACACAATATACAGTATGTTTGGATCACCAGCACTTGCTGGTGGCTCTTCAATAGGCAGGTCTAGGGGGGTGCTCCCCAGACTGCTCCCCTAGTTTGACCAGACCAGGTCCTGCAACATGGCATTGGCCTCTGGGCTCTCACCTGGGGGTTTGTGCCCTTTGGCATTGGACTGTGGCGCAGTTCATCCACCTTGACGTGACTGAACAGAGACTCCAGTTTTCCTGTGGTTGATTGGCCCTTGCAAATTCCCAGCATCAAACATACATTTCCAGGGTTCTGGCAAACAGGACAAAAGGAGAGAGTGACAACAGCTTTGTGAAAAAATGGTATAAATTCCAAATCTGATCTGAAGAAAGAACTGAAAACATTCCATATATTGTACATATTTTTGAATGATAAAAGATGTAATATCCAGGCAAGCAAAGATAACACCTGACACATACCACGCTATTGATCAGGAAGTTGATGATAAAGGGCAGTTTGACATCCACCTCTTCAATGCACTCCTTCTGAGTTTCTCCTGTGGGCAGGCGCTTACAGAACCAATCTGCTGTTCTTTTCATCAGTTCCTGGAGAGAGGCCATGAAAGGCGGGCATAGAGAGGAAAGACAGGAAGGCAAATAAGATCTGAGCACCTTAGTGTCACACTTTACCCAGGAGGCAATGACCCAGCCAAGTTCTTAAACCCTGGCTTCTTTCAAGAAATGTCTGGATAGCTATGTGGGCTGAATGTTTGTAACCATTCTTATGGTCTGAAAGGAGTTTTCTCCATTGCTCTGTACTTTTGGATAAGAAAAAGAGGTCCTGCTCAAATAATTTTTAGTAGGTGCATCAGTCCCCATTCTCTTTCACTTTGGACGAAAACATCTGCTAATTAACTGTTTTCATTATTATTTAATGTAAATCTTATTATTGAATATTTATTTAATCTTATTGAATTATTATTCAATGGTGATACTGTGAGAAATAGAAAGTTATGACATTTCATTTATTGAGGGCTGGCTGAGCACTGTCTCCATCAGGGATCTCCAGCGCTGGTCCAAGAGAAACTCTTGTACATCTATCACATTTACCTGTCATCAAAAGATCAGCAACACTAATTTAATTCATCAGTAAAGTTTCAATGGAGGGAACACTGGTCCTTGAGAGCTGGAGGATATTCTGTTTTTCGTTTCTGAATGATCTCTAAATGGCTTAAATGAACACCTCACCTGTTTAATTTTAGTTTAATTTTAATTTTTGTTAAATTATTCCAGGCCTTTAGAAACTGATGATTTAAAGGATGACTGTGAGGGCTGCTGGACAGGAGCTGTACAGGACCAGGGTTGGAGACTATACATTAATAAAATAAACTGGACAGCAACTGTATGTGAAAGGTGAGAAAACTAATATATAAGAACACTTTTATATTGGAAAAAGCTGCATCAACTTCACACTCCTAATAATACAAAGGTGTATTCAGACAGATGTTTTAGTGGGCTTTACTGTTTGTATTACAGTTTCATAGCAACATGCTCAAAACTGCTTAAATCACGGCTTTATTACTCACAAAGCAATGCAGGGTAAGTGCCAGTTTTATCACAAAATCAAAGAAAGAAATGGCACAACAATGTTTAAATAAACTATACATTAGTTCAAAGGAACAAAAGCTGAAAATGTAGCAAGCAAGTCAAATATCTTCATTGCAAAAGACCATTACACAAACAGGCCCAGTGAAAGGAATGCAGGAAAGTATCGGTTTTATCACAAAACCCCAATATGGCTCAATGTTTAAATAAACTATACATTGGTACAAGAGAACAAAAGCTAGAAAAGTACATAAGATCATTGCAAAACTCAAGCCTCACAAATCCTGTTAAAACCAAAAAGTGATGTACAGTAGCTCCTTCAAAAACATGCAGCAGGCAGTAACCTCTCTGTACAGGCGTTTCTAGCTGATAACATTTGGTAACCCTGGCATTTGCAGGCTTATGTAGAAACCAAAAAGACAATACAGTTTGGCCGTAGTTTTACAATCGATGCTGCCCTGCCCAGGTGTGCTCTCAGAGCCAGTTACACCATCTCCCGGGTCACTTACGTTCTGCGGTTAATTTTTCTTTAAAGATCAGAACGCGCATACAGGCGTGTACCTGCCAGAACGCCGCCTTGCTAACTGAAGCGCATGAGCCTGAAATTCATCCCTGCGTTCTGCTGGGAGAGTGTAGCGGTTTTAGTCAGGCCAGAACAGACCCATAGGAGGAACCAAGCAACTCCCTGGCCTGGAGTTAATCCCATGGGATTACATGGTTGGAGCCCAGTAAACTCTGGTAGTCAGGTACAGCACATGGAATTTAGAGGTGTTTTTTTCACCTCAGGGGACCGGAGCGATTGGGGAGCATGGCTCCCAGTTCAAGGGTACAGGTGTCCATGGTGGGGGGTGGGACTGAGCCCCTAGATCTCTGCTCATTACTCTGCACCTCACCACACAGCACCCCAGCAACCCCACTCCTGAGCAGCAGCACTGTGGAAGACACATCGCTGGTATAAAAAGGGGAAGGAAGAGGAGAGGAAGAAAGAAGATAAGCGCAGGTGTGTATTACTGTTCCAGATCAGAACAGAAGTGAAACCCTGGGTCGGGCTGTGCATTCTGAGCACCACAGGAGAGACGGGTGAGGAGTAAATCTGAGACACCAAAGAGGGGTCCCAACTGCTTCAGCAATGAAAAAAAAAGCAGTTCTGCTTTTTCTTCAGCCCTGCGTCTGCGAGTTTTAGAGTCACTCATTTGGAAAAACACGCCATAGCTGAAGCCCAGCTGTTTGGCTTGGGTGTTGCTACTCTTCCACTACACACCAAAACAGGACTCTGACACAACAGACACTTTGTTTGCTCAGTTCTGCCTTAGTTACTTGATTGACCCTACACATTTCGATTTCGATATTATGGGTTAGCTGGGATGCACATTTTGAACAAAGTAGAGAACCTGAGGTTGGCACATTCCTCCTCACTTGTCCCAAACTACACCAGCGATCCCCCGATTAAACTAGTGTTTGCTCAGTGATGGGCCATGGTCCATATCTGGACAAATCAACAGTTCCAAATGGTTCTTGTGGAAACTGTACATTTTGGAAAGCCCAATGCCATTGATTTCATGAAAAATGTCAGTATTGTACTGAAAACTGCTGGTGTCATTGGTTTATCTAGAGATTCTTCCTCCTGTCCCTGGTCAACCACAGAGTTTTCTGTTTCCAAGTCTTTAATCACTGAGAAGTGTGAGTTTCCTATACAACCTGCACGACACTGGCTGTCCGGGGCCAGGGATGAGGATCAGTGCTTTAAACTAAAGGTAAGTAGCCCTTGTTGAAGAAAGTTTCATCTGTCTCAAAGTAAAGCAGACTAATCAGAAACTTCAGGTAGGAAAGGGGATGAAATTACTGGATTGCCCAGGGATTTCCATGAGAGGAACAGTCACTGGCCAGGACTGTAACACACAATGCTGCTACATTCACAGTGAATGGGCAGAATGGAATGGGACAAGGATATTCTAATGTACACATGTGCACAAGCATGGTTTGTTCTGGGAATTAAGCTTCATGGTCAATCACCAACCTCAATGTCATCGTTAGACAGCATGTCCTGCAAGAGCTCGAAGATCCGGGTGCAGTCCTTACAGCTGTCACTCTCCTGCAGGAACCAGAGGAAACAAACCCCGTCACGATGACATCAGGACTTTTTCTCCATTGCAAGAAAACAAAACTCTACCTTTTCTCAGGAGATTTCCTTATTTTAGTATGAAAGGAAAAACCAACGTACTCATCTCTCTTCGTACCTACACTCTCTCCATTTTTCTTTTTCTATTACTTTCAGAGAAAACAGAGACAATTTTACCCCAGAGCAAAAAGTGTAGAAAACTGGCCTCCCATTTGCAGTGTGAAGAAATGCCTAAAGGATATATGATAGTTTATAAAGGCTCTGATTGGACACTTCCTCAGCCAAACAAAATTCCACATTCACTCACAAATAAACATTTAAGTCTCGTATCTTGCAGCATTATTGTTTTAAAAAACAACTTATAAAAGCGCTCAAGAATCAGGAGACAAAAGCAGAAGTGGAAGAGTTGTCAGACAGCTGTGTTATGAAACCAGATGAAGTGATAGGGCTGGTGATGGGTTCGTTTTGAGTGTATTTCGGAAGGATGCTGTCAGTAAAATAAGAAGGCCATATCCTGAGAACAGCTCGGAGATTTATCTAAATTTCTGAAGTTCCTTTCTCAGCCTCCTAAGCCTTGTAACAGTTCTGCACGATGTCACCAGCAAGGGATGGGCATAAAACATAACTGGCAATTGTAACACGATTTGTTTATTCTTTTTTTTATTTAGAGAGAATTTGTGGATCATAACATGGTCAGAAAGATGTTCCTTTTGCTTTTTGTTTCTGAAGTTGCTGTAAGGTTCTTTTTAACTTTTTAAAGAAAATAATATGATGTGTCTTAGTACAAAGAGTTGTGGGTGTAGGACACAATGTGTCAACCCATGTTGTAGACATTGATTTTTCAGAAAGGCTTTTTTCTAAATTAGTGTCTGTCTGCTTCATATTCTAATGGGCATGTATCTGATCCTGCACCTCTAACCTCTAGTGTTTCTTGTGTAATTTGCTATCCTTTTAATTTTTTTCCTACTGTAAAACTCTTTGAGATCATGATGATACTCTTAATGACTTGATAGGTCTTAATTGGTCGCTACTGTTTCCAGGTCTTTGCTCTTGTGGATTCTAAGTTACAGTACACACAAACCCTGGTGAACTGCACTGCTTCAAGACCAAGAGTGAAGCACTGATTTATACGCATGCTTGACAATGTGGCTGGAATTCCATTTTAAAACTAAATTAAACATTGCAAATTCATGAGAAATGTAAGATCCTACTCTTGGTTGAAATTCCTTTGAGTGTGCACAGAGTTAAATAAACTGTTTTTTTCTCATCAAATCATCTTGAAAAAACATGTCACAAAATGGTATGTTTTGCCTTGAAAGCTTTATTCAGCTGCTGTACTCTTTCCTACAGTATCGTGTTGAGTATCGCGTTGTGCTCCCGACTCACCATCATGGTGTCTTTGTTCCAGACGGTCTCCATGCACTGCAGGACGGTGCCACACTGCACAGCACTGCGGATGTCTTGGCACCAGAACTCCGGGCCCAGAGCACATCCAGATTTCTGGACAACTCCGGCCATAGCTGGGAAAACAGCACAGAAAAAAACAGCCTGATACGTCCTCGAAAATAAAATTCCAGCCAGCTTTCAAGGCACAATCCAAACGTCTTTAAGGGATTTCTTTTTTTGGGGGGTTAAACACCAGGCATTGCTAAAATCCTACATTAGCTTGGTGACATGATTCAATCATTACTGGTTTGTATTATAGAGTCAAAAGTGTTATACAGACGACCCACGATACAGAGGGGCTATAATAACAGTACAGTAGAATAGAAATTGGCACGGGAACTGTTGAAACGCCCACCAACCAACCGATCTGTTTGTAGTCAGACCACTGAATGTGCACGATCAGGGTGTGGTCAAGGTGGTAGGTGGTCGATTTGAATGGTCGAGCAGGTAAGTCCTGAACCATTCAAATCAACCACGCCACACACTGGTCATGCACATTCAATGTCCTGATTACAAACAGATCGGGGGAGACTCCAGCCATTCTGTTCATAATTTATTAAATGAAGGGAATATTGTTGGATAAGCTGTAACTACTTGACAATGATCTTCTAAACTTACAGGAGACAATTAATCTTAGCCAGACTGTTAGTAACTTATAATAACTAAGGTTCCATGTTCACCAACACACCGAAACATGACAAGGGCTTTACATTTCCGTTCAGATATTACTGTAAGTCTAACTTTGAAATTAAGCACTAGCTTTGTAAAACTGAGTCCTGTTTTTACCCTTTCGGAGGAATAATAAAATGAGAGGCGCTCAAACGACACGTTTATTGCAATGATTCGTGTTCACTGGCTATGTTGATGCAGCTTGTTTTCTGTAATTATTAATATGACAAAGCGACTTCTGAGATTGTATTAATGAATCGTGTGCCAAACCTAAATGTAATGACTCCAAAAGTAACATTGATCAGGTGTCCATTCAGTCTGATTTATCAGCTTCACTGCGAACAATAATTCTACCCCAGCACTCACCTCCGCAAATGGCTGTAACTTAAGATTTAATTGAAACTTTCATGTAGTGTTACTTACTATACACATGAATTCACTTCGGTTTAAGGACAATTTTAAATTCCCGTCCTGTCTGAAAGGATCCAGGTGAACAAGGTATCATATGGGTACTGTATCTCTAGTTTTCCTTTTCTTTTTACTCAACTAATCTCCATAATAACATATAGATCTATGTATCAAGTTCACGTTTATTTGTCATTCCAGCCATATACAAGTATACAGTGGAACGGAATATCGTTCCTCCTGGTCCACGGTGCAAATACAGGCAGGACACTGACATAGACATTGTAGACAGGATACACATAGTGCCACGTGCAGATAGTGCAAATTACATGGTAAATACTGTAAATAACACAATATACAGTACACAACACATTGAGGGGATTTAAACCCTAATTCTGAAATTGTGCAAGTAGAGGGTGTTGAGGAGCCCTACAGCCTGCGGGAACATAAGAAAAAGCTACATTTCATTAGAAAACGCTACATAAATCTGTGCTTTTTCTAATGCAAACCAGATGTGTGACATTTGTAAAAAGCGGAAGGATTCCTTGCTGAACTTCATTAAACTCCATGTGGAATCTACATTGGGGGTAATATGGCCACTCTTGTAATAGACTGTTTAACAGGTGTGCTGTCTTCAGGCGCGTGCGTGCGAGATTCTGCCCGAAGTAACTGGAAATTGCGCTTTAGTAGAGAGATTCAGCTTTCCCCGAGTTTGATTTTGTTATTGAACACGTTGTTTAACCCTTCCAGCACTGATGGTAAATTACCGCTCCCAAGAAAACTCGATTACGTATATTGGAATACAACAAAAACAAGGACAAGAGAAAGAATGTCTCACCACGTTGCAAAATAATAATCTTTCCTTAACTCTTTTCCTCCCAAAGTTGGCCCACTCTACTCTAAACGCAGATGGGTTAACAAAACACGCAGGGAAAGCCTTTGTCAGAAGAAACAATTCAGAAGTGACAGCAGCCTAAGGAGGTGACATTAAACGTTTTTTTTTTTCTCTCAGATTTTTCTAACGAATGAAAATGTTAGAATTCTATGGCAGGGACAGGGCGAGATCTAAATGCAGTACTATGAAATCGAGGCATTTCAAACGCTGGAGATGCTGCTTCTGTTGAATAGTTAATACATTTCCAATTTATTTTAACATTCCTCTCACAAATCAAATCATTTTCTTTAATCTCGACAGAGAAGCGTTTGTACAAGAAGATGAAAAGAGACACTAAATATAACCTGAGATAAGTGGGTTAAAATACTGAAAATGCAGAAATTGCCGCGCATCTCCCGGTCAAGGGGCGGTTCATCCTTTTGTGCTGTGCTCTCTCCACAACACGGGTGGGTATTCTCAAGGAAATTCAAGCATCACACTGCTGGCCGCAGCACCATCGCTGCCATCACTGGTATCGACAGGAAAAGACTCAGCCAAGATCCCTCGACATACCGAACATGATGATTCACAAGCAAGTCGAGATCAGTCCGACTCACAATTGGATCTTTCACATCTGAAGACGACAATGCAAAATGCAGCGCTGAGCACTGAGACTGAATACATCCACACCTACAGTAGCCCACACCACGCAAAGACCCCGTGACACGAGAGAGACCGTCTGAGGCGCTGCTTGTTGCTTACCCGTGCCGAGAGATGCGAAAAAGAAGAACCGCACGAATTGAGCTCCAGCCATCCTCCGTCTGTCGGGCCGCAAGGGCGAGTTAGTATATGAGATTTCTCAGAGGGGGTCTAGCTGTATATATCCAGAACAGCAAGCTTATACAGAATAATGGGTTAGCCTATCGCACGAATATCCGATATGTGGGCGGAGCAGGGCCGAACACGAGCCAATGAGAAATTACTACTGGGTTGTAGTTGGACGGTACTTTATTTGCGCGCAGGTCTTCCCGAGTCTTACCTGTCAACTGAATACATCATAGTTTTTTCATAATTATCTGATTTCTACCTTGTTAAGTAGAAAACTCTTTCCAGGTTAAAAGTGTACTTTCAAAGATAAATATCCCTTAGTCGTATTACAATTTTTTGCACTATTTTCACCACTATTTAAATAAGATAACATTTAGCACGGAATTATGTTTAATATATTTTCCTGTTTAACTGGAGTTCTCCCTGACCGGAGAACTGACTGATAAGGATTCATCAGCAGGAATTCACTAGTAGAAGTCGCCAATAGAAATCATTATAGTTTGGAACAGACCACTGCAGGAGAGAGGATTCGATTATATTTCTACCTGTTTAGAGAACATGTTAAGTTAAACTTCTAAGTTTAGTAACATGTTAAGAAGATAAAGATAAAGATCCGAGCTGAATCTACGTGTCAGTCAGAGGTTCCTGGGCATGATTCTGGCGTGTGTCTGTATGGAGTTTGCACGCGTTTGTGTGATTTTGCACTGGGATGCTGTGGTTTGCTTCCAAAGACACACTGGGTAGATTTTTTAGGAGTTTAAACTAATAGATTATGAGTTTAAATTAAAAAATAAAAAAATGAAAATGAAAACAGTAATTTAATGGCATAAAAGACAAGTACTGGAGCCATAGCCCACAAGTCTATCGTGAAATATTTGTGTTTTGTGTAGAAGACGGTCAGCAAACATGGATTGTAACAGCTGAGAAATTATACAGTACACTGCTGTAACAGTAGAACCAGGAGAACGAATCGGTCAGAATACAAAGAATGAAGAGCAGAGTTCAGAACAGAGAAGAAATATTTGTCCTTCCTAATGTACAGCATATCTGAACAATTCTTCTAATCTGTGCTAGTTGGTGCATTCAATAGTTATCTTAAATATACTCAAACTGTTCTATCTTGGCAGTGTCTAATATACATCCTCCTTAAGCTGTTGAACTCCTGCTGCTGAAACATTCCGGTCTGAAGCTCTATATTCCCAAGGGGGGTTCTTGGGAATAGTCCGTATGGACTCAGAAGAGGTTGGCATCGTGGTGGCGCAGTTGTTAGCATTGCTGCCTCACAGCGCTGGGGACTTGGTGTCACAATCATAATCCCTCCTCTTAAGGGCGCTCCTGTTCTTTCCTATTTTTCTAATTACGTGCACCTGCCCCTCCTCATTTAAACCGGGCGTTCTCCCTGCTCCGGTCCGCCTACCAGCAAGTCGCCCTACTGTACGTCCGCGGCTGTGAGTTATCTCTGTTACATACACCTTCCACACTACTAAAATTATAGGCAACTTTACAACTATACGATTTACAGTTTGAGATTTGCTTAACAGTGCCACCGCGTGGAAAACTACTAAAACACGCAGTGCCGTCTCGTGTGAAATATGTGTAAGTACAGCTAATGGGCTGTTCTTAGTTAACATCATACGAATTGGCAGGATTAACTGGATTCAACCATGAATAATGCAAGTTCTGATTTAATCAGGTGTGCTAGGCATGGGGAATAGTTTATCTTCCAAGGTTTTTGAAAAATAACAATTGGGGAAACGGCAGAACGTCTAGATTTGCTTAAAGGTGTAGGACTAAGTTTAAAAATGTTTTACCTTCCGTCTCATTTACATAAATAACATCCTAAAATGCAACATGTAAGAAACTTGTGAAAGCAAGTGATGGGATAGTTGACAGTGTTATAGAAAGTGAAATCAGGATCAGCAGCTGATTAGCATTATTGTGTAGTCTGTTATGGACACATTGCGCGAATGTGTTACACTGTTGAGTGGGGAGCCGAAGTATTAACTGGCTTGAGAATTGCATTGGGGATTACCACAGTTTCTGAAAAGGCCTGGAATCGAAGCTCAACCGGGTAGCCAGAGCAACCATGAGAGACAGCCGTCGGTAAATGTCTGTCTTCCTCCACAGAATCTCCAGGTTCAATTTGTGTGAACATCCCATTATGAAAAACAGAATCCTCAGGCCAAACAGACTGTACTTGTGTACTGCATGACCGGGGTTTGGGATTGCTTTTGCTAGAACTAGTTGGATTTGCCATATATAGAGGTAAAGAAAAAGATTTTAAAAAATAAGAAAGTTAGAAAAAAGCAGGGGGACATTCAATTCCAGCAAACCAGCAAGACCTGTGGTCAGACTGTGTGTGTAAGCCCACAACACAATGCTTAGGGTGAGGCTTGGGCACACTTACTGTATGTACTGGGACGTTTGCATGCGCAGCAAACCAAAGACAAAACCAGCAGCAGCTGGGCAGTCGGGAGAATCCCTGTGAATGTCGACCCCTTATTCCAGAGGAGGTGGGAGGAAAGCCACATGCACTGTCCACTCACGAAGGACTGCCGGAATTGGAGCCAGGATACTTTGAGGATGTGAGGCAGGTGTATAACTGTTGTCAATTTAGAAATATGTATGTGATGTTAAGTGAACAAAGCACTTGATTTGTCAGGTTCTCTGAGTCCAGCAGGGGGAGCTGGAGCACCAGAAAGAGTGACACTCCTCTTTAGGCTCTCTTGTGCTGTAGGCTGTGCAGCCATGAACACAGTGCAATATACCTGTCGAACTAAAGCATATAACACTGCTTCTTGGCACTTTCCTCCCACTGGGGAAAAATAATCACAGTTTCAGGTGAAGAAAATGTTCATCACTGAACCCTGGATATTCTCCATCTGTACTGTACAGTGCGCTGTGACAGTAGAGAGATTTGCATCAAACAGGCTGATATCAGGTACTGTTCTCAACACAAGGTTTTCCTTAATGTGTCAATTCACATTACTGGTTATTTCTTTGTCTTCTGTTTTTGAAACGCAAACAGCCAGGAATCCGTGTTCTGATCCTGAGGGGCTGGCGGCACTAGACCCGCTGGAGTCCTGGAGCTCCACACTCCTGCTGGGTTCTGCTCTCTTTACACTCTCGGCGTAAACGCAACTGAGGAGCTTTTGAGAGATGGACATTTGAAGTTACTTCTGAAACCCCAGCAGTGAGAAGGCCACCTCCAAAATGTTTTCTAGCTAAAAACAATGAAAGAATTCATATGAATTGGGCAGTTTGGTAAGATGGAATATTATTAGGCTAACTAAGAGTTCTACTATGCAATTGTGTTCTTCAGTTGGAACGAAAGCCAACAGGCATAGGATTGTCCAAAGGGTGTCTGGCACCCGAGCTGGATGGCCCTGCATTGTGGGGCTGCAGTGGTAGGGCCACAGTTTCGGGAGCCGCAGTCTGCAGGAACATTGAAAACTATCCAATGTGTGGTACAGAACATCTGGCATGAGAAGAATGAATCAGAGGGCCTCAATTGCTAAAGATTGTTAAGCATTGAGCTCCACCTAATCCAATGATATTCCTACGGCTAAAATTTCAAGAACCTCTTGTGAGTCAGGACCACTGTGCTACTCAACCTGTGGCCACTCCAACCCACCCTATCGCATGATTCCACTGCATGCAGGTCCTACATTAATTAGCATTAAAGACCAACATTCATGATACAGCAGTTTCTCATTTCTATATAAGACATGGGAATATAGGACTGATCAATTCAGGAACTGGTTGTGTAGGAGGTTTGCAGTGAGCTGCAAGCTGAGTAGTCCTGGTGTGATGGTGGAGTCCGAATGTTGAGGAGGCACAGGAAGGTGGTCGGAGGTGGACATCTGAAGGGCCACAGATGAGAGAGGAGCAACTGGCCCATTAAATTCTCTATAGTCCAATAGCCAGTAATGGTTGAACTGGGTATGCAATTCCCTTGAAGAGGAAAGGGCCAATTTAGAGCAGCCTACTGCTCCAGGTGGCCTGAAACCTTACAGGGAATAAGTGCTTTTCTGATGGGTGGATAGATGGGTGTCTGGGTGGTAGTTGTCACAGTTCAGCAAATATTGAAAAAATGAGAAGGGGGACCATTATCTGTGAAGATGCATTTCAAGACCTTCTCAATACTAAAGAAGTGAACAGACCACTACACCACACAGAAATATCCAATGATGATTTCAACTGAGCCACACAGTAAGTCAGGGGTTTTCAGTCTTTTTGAGATGCACGCCCTCCCCCCGTTTGTCTAAGTTTGAACTTGCGTCCCCCCAACCAAAATCCCATCGAGAAAACAATGCGAACACCCGCGTCACACTCACTCACACATTATAATTGATATTGTGTACATGCATGCATTTCAGCGCCTTTCATTAATTTGCTTTAACAGTTTAACGCTCACCGCTGTTGTTAGCTTTAGCAGTATGCCACCGGTCCATTTTTAAGTTTGTAATCGTGGTATAAGGCGAAGTCTAAATTCTGCTGTAGCCTTCGCCAACGAGAATAGACGGCAGGTAGCCTGCTCAGCCAGGGACATGAGCCAGATTGCAACACCCCCCTCTTGTGGATAAATAATGAATTGCTATTAACGACTGAAACAACATGTTCGCTGCAGTTGTTTCATTCTACGTGCGTGTTTGCGCCTAAATGTCTCGTAATCGCCCCACAGGTTGAAAAGCCCTGCAGTAGGAGATGATATATCATGGTCATATCTGACGTTGTCTCTTAGTGGGATGATTGTTTTGATTTCCTGTCATCCTAACAGAGTGAAAGCATGGTGTTTATAAAGGGGACCAGTGGTATTCATTAAGAAGTTTACCAGCATTTGGATGGGGTCTGCAGCACGTATTAGGAACATGCCACAGATTTGACTAGATCTAACGTTTAGTCATGACACTCGCAACAGCTATCTGTTGTGAAACCTACCCTACAATGAGAAATGCATATTTTACTGTGTTCTGTCCTGAATCTGCTCTCTTGTCACTTCCTGGCAGATAACTACAGCCCCTATAACCTTTGCAGATCTTATAGGCAGTGCACTGTTTGCAATTGAAGAGCTTTAAATAAATTTA